GATCACTGATAGAAGGTCAACTTCGGGGTACTGCACATTTCTTTGGGGCAATTTAGTTACTTGGAGAAACAAGAAGCAAAGTGTAGCTGCTAGAAGTAGTGTTGAGGCTGAATTCAGATCAATGGCTCAAGGAGTGTTTGAGGCTCTTTGGCTAAAGAGGGTGCTAGTAGATCTTAAGATACCAGTGAGTTTTCCTATGAAACTGTATTGTGATAACAAAGCAGCTATCAACATTGCTCGTAATCCGGTCTACATGACAGGACTAAACATGTTGAGATTGACAAACACTTTATAAAGGAGAAGCTTGAAGAAGGAATAATTTGCACTCCGTTTGTACCAACCACGCAGCAAGTTGCAGATGTTTTGACTAAGGGCTTGTTGAGACAGCCATTTGAACTTCAAGTTAGCAAGTTGGGCATGATAGATATCTTTGCACCAACTTGAGGGGGAGTGTCGGCAAGATATGATTTGTGGCAGATTAAGAAGGATATGATTTGCTGCAAATTTAGAAAGATTTGATTTGATTGATTACAGATTTGAATAAATTTAGGAAAGATTAGATTTGAATAAAATTAGGAAAGTCATATCCTAGGATTAAGGGAAAGATTTAATCAATCCCTAATTGAGAGAGATTCTAGGAGTAATTGAGAGAGATCCCAGGAGTTTGTCTCTCCTATCTTTTCCTATTTAAGTTGTATGCTCAACATGTTTTTTCAACACATTATCAATATAGAAGTATTTCTTCTTCTCTTCATCTTTATTTTGCCACATAATTTAAGAATAGGTACTAAAAAGGATCAAAATTTTGCAACGTATCAACCAGTGATCAATACATTGTTTTTAAGGATTTTTTTTAAGAAATGTTTGTTTTGAATGTTAAACATTATTATTCTTACCCCTCTCCAGAATTTTGAAAAAAAAAAAAACTAAAAAAAAGGTTAGTGTTAGGTTCAAAGTACCAATACACCCCATCTGTTGTATCAGGTGTATCAATATTTTAATTTTGGGTACTAAGGCAGTAATGCTATAAGTAAATTAATGGTTGCCTAAAATATTTTTTCTTTTCCCTCCAATTATTTATCTTTGGATGTCAGCAGTCAGTTGTTTCAAGTGAAAAATGCCAACTCCAATTTTTCTCTTGGTTCCTGTGCAGAAATCAAACAAGAATTTGAGGAAAACTGCTCAGTTCAGGTCTACAGTGTCCAAGCTTGCATCCCAAAGGACCCAGCAGTGCTTTGGAATGCTGAATTTGTACAAGCAGAAGAGCTCTTTAATCAGCCTTCAGCTGTGAATAATTGCTTGAGGGACAACAGGTGTGATTCCTTGTTTTCCTTTTTTTTTATCTTAAGAAATTGCAAGAGTCAAGACATTTTTAAACTCTATTTTCTTTTGGGAAACTGTATTCATGGAACACTATTTATTCTTACTTTTGTCAGTGTATTTCATGGATATATTAAGTTGAAAGGATCATGGTATCAGTTGAGTTTATGAAGTAACTAAAATCCTTTAATTTCTCCTAGAATACTGTACAAACTGGTTTTACAATGAATTTATTTATTTTTTAAATTTTCTAGCAAGAATATCCTGCCAAATGTCATGATATCTGGATTCCAGAGAATCTGGAACTTGTAATTAAGTTTTCTTGTTTTTTTCTTACAGTCTATTTGCATGTGATAATCACAAGTGTTGAAGGATAAAAAGATTTAGGCAAAGAATATCTTTGTTTTCAATTGTGCAGGAACTCAAAGCAAAATTTTTGTTGCTTTTTCTGTTCTTTTTTCTTTCTTTCTTTTCAGTGTGCATTATTCATGTATTTCTGTTTATTTGTTTGCATTCAGATTTTAGATGCTGATGATGCTGTTGCCTAGTTATATACATAATATGTAAAGCATGTATTACATCTATTTCCTTCTCTCTGACATTTACAGCTTTCCCTTTTCCTTTTCCAGGTTCTGTGGGGTTTCAAATTCCTTTGTCAAGCGCAATGCCCATGAAACACCTGCCATTGTTGTGCCTCCACAACCTAGAAATGTGGGAGTCACAGGGCTATCAAAGAGCAATTCTACAAATCAAACTCTTCCTGCTCCATTTGTACAAGGAAAAGTACAGCATGAGAGCCCAAAAATTGGAGTGCAGTCTTCTACTGCAGCTACAAAGGATGTCAAGAGTGAAAGTAGTTCCAAGCCTGTTCAGGCCAGTGAACCTAATATAGATAAAGAAAAAATTACTACATTTCCTGCTAACAAAAGGAAAGGCCAAAATGACAAGCGGACTGGAGGATCACTGGCCACATTTTGGGGGCGTGCATCTGCAAAGTTAAAACCAAACTGCCCACCAGCTGAAACTAATAGTGCTGCTCCAAACCCCGTTGGTAGGTGGTGGTAAAATGAAGTTTCCCTATTACATATTTTCTTTTGTTATTAATTATTAATCAATGCTTGGCATTTCCTCCATTAAGCTGGCACAAAACAGGGAAATGCTAGTCATACCGACTCTAAATACACTGGCATGATTAATTAAAATATTAATGCATTTTATGGCTCATGAGCATCATTCTTGAGTGGCTTTTGTAGCTGACTTTTTTATTTAAAAAAAAATTACATTCTATGTAGTTACCGCAGAAGCTCAAATATGTGCTCGTGAAGCAGTAGATAATTTTAGCAGTGACGAGGATGAGCAAGATGTCAAGCCTAGGAGAATCTCGAATGGTGAAGGCAGTAGAAAGAGGAGGGTTGTTTTTGATTTCTCAGATGAAGAGGATGATTATGAAAATGCAGTCAGTCTAGCCTCACCTGATCCTCCTCCACAAAGGCAATCAAGCATAGATGATAAACACAATAACAAAACCTTGGTTCTTGAGAAAAACAATATGAATTTTGAAGAGAAAGAAGAAAAATCAAAGATTAAGCAGGAGAAAGCAACCAAAAAAGATTTTATCCTACCACAGAAAGAAGATACAGGAGTTCCTAACAATGGAAAGAAAGGTGGAATTTTGTTGTCAGAGAAGATCCACAATGGTTTCCCTGAGAGTGATGGAGATAAGAAAGATACAACTAATGCTGCTCCTATGTCACCCAAAAGGAGGAAAGTGCTCAAGACACGGATTGATGAGCGTGGGAGAGAAGGTATGTCCACATTTGGTTTATTGTTTTGATCCAATCTCAACCTAGAGTCCTGCTTATCATTAGCTTGGCTTTTCTCAGCAATATCCTTTTCTATTCAGATTTTGGTACCTATCCCCATTGAAACTAACTTGATTATTGTATTAGTTGGGTTTCTCTTCTTAGTTGTGCTATGTTTCAGCCAAATCATTTTGCCTTCACTCTTTGATATTTCCTTACATCTGTATGTTTATTCCCGTGTTTCCCATGACTATTTATTTCCTAGAAGCAGCATATGTAAGGGGATTGACACGTAATGCACAAACTAGCAAATCTATGTTAGCCTTAACTTTGCTTATACTTGTTCCAGTTACAGAGGTTGTTTGGGAGGGTGAAGAGACAGAGACCAAGAATGCTGACAAGGATGCAACCAAGAATTCTGTGAACAGGTCAAATTTATAATTGTCACTTCTTATTTACAATTTTTTTCTTTTACCGAAATTAAAATGTAGATTCTTGGAAAACTGGAAAATGCTTATACTTGGCACATACACAATGTTGATAATCATCATTGGAATAGGGCCAAGAGGACCCATCACTGGAAGGTCAAACATAGGTTAGATGGTTGCCATAATCCATTCAGATTGACTTTGAGTATCTGGTTTGGCTGGTTGAACTTTAACACCCCTATATTGCAGTGGTATCCTTGCATTTTGCTTGTAGCCAGTGGGTTTTCCACAAATCAACAGGCCTATTTAGGCATTTGCCAACATGTTTTCTTCCATTATTTATATTATTTTCTCAAACAAATGGAACTGCAAATTATTCTTGTTCATTTTGCTAAATGTTGGGTTCACTACCACAGGGCTCCTGCAGTGAAGTCTCCAGCATTGGGTGGCACTGCTCCATCTAAACCAGTGGACAAGACTTCAGCATCAGGTGCCATTGCTCCATCTAATTCAGTGGCTAAGTCAGCATCAGGTGGCAGTGTCACTGCTCCATCTAATCCAGCTAGCAAAGCTGGAAACAAGAAAACAGGAAAAGCTGGTGTTAAGGATGCTAAGCAAGGCAACATTCTGTCATTCTTCAAGAGGGTTTAAACTTTGAAGAGTTCCAGAGAATGAGAGCTAGGGCACACGAGGGAGAGCAATATTGTGATTGATTGAACTGGTTCAGTGTTTATAACTTGATCAAAAGAGGAAACTGTTCATCTAATCGAATCACAGTACATATATTCCTGTTCAACTAGAAGCATTAGTGAGTGGACAAAATTGCAAGAATGTATTTTATCTATTTATTCTTCATATTAAGTATGCTTTTGGATATATTTAATCCTTGCTTTGAAAAGACATACCATGCCAATTGCCAAGTCACTTATTGGGTATGAGTCCGGATCTTCAACCATCTACCAACAGTATCAGGTGGAGACACGTGTCCAAAACACATTTACAAGCTTCTCATGTGTGAGCCAATGGGACGGATTCGTTAGTCGTTAGTCTCAAACATAATATCTTGGCTCTCATTTTAATATTTCCACTGAACAGACTAACCATTGCCCAAAGGCCCCAAACCCTATCGTCTGGATCTCTCCTCTCATCTTTGCTCCACCGGCGATCATTCTCACCGATGACGGCCACTCTAGCAACCTGTGCCGATTCTCTCTTCTTCACCTCCTTTATTTCTTTCATAAAGCAATCAGGGGCAATCAAACTTTATTCAAACACTAACCAACAGCGGTGATCATTATCTCCGGCAACGATCTCTCTAGCAACCGGCAGTGATCATTCTCACCAGCAACAATCACTGTAGCAACCGGTGGCAATCAAACTTTATTTATCATTGTTTCCAGCGATCAATTGATCACTTGCTTAAAATGTCTTCATCAGAGCTTGATTTCATTCATAACAGTGGGTCGGTCTGATCACCTGATTTCTTTTCATTAAGGTCCCTAACCGGAGAAGAAAAGAAATAGACGAGAACGTAAAATAAAATAGAAAAGAAAACCAAAAAATGTTCCAACTTATTGCAACCTGTCCTCATATTTCTTTCCCATTCGTTTCTTTTGAAAACAGCCTGTAGCTGGTGAGCTGTTACATCTCCAATGAATGACTCCCAACGGTAAGTCGGTAACTCCCTTTCATTCCTTGTTCTGTTTATTTTAGTCCCAACGATCCAATTCAGTTGAACTGAATTCAAGTCATCTGTAGTAATCCATTAAGTTATGTCCAACCGAAGAGCAAGAAACCATCGAAACAAACAGACCCATCTTTGATTTCTTCTCTATTACCTTGCATTTTCATCGCCGGTGAAATGATTGCCGCCGTGGAGCAAAAGTGAGAGAGGCCAAGCGCAAGGGGTTTTGGCAATAATTATTGTTCAGGCGAGAAGATTAAGTGTGGTTGAGACACCACACAATAGCAGAATGGGCGTTCTGTACTGTGGCCACAATTTGGTGGCATCAACCACACCACACGTTTTGCCTATATAGGTGTGGTGTGGTTCAGGCTACGGTCTGTATTTTGATTCCATGTATCTCATATATACAATGTGAGGTGATCTACCCCATTGATTAAGATTAATATTTTTTTGTGTTTTTATGCAAAATGCAAATCAATAATATGAATTAATTTAACATGTGATAAAAAACTAATGGTAATAATGTAATATAAATTAAAAATTTAAAAATTTAAAAGTTAAAAAATTAATATTGATCAAAAAATTAAAAAACACTAATAATAATAAACAAATAAAATAATAATTAAAAATTAATAATACTAATAATAAATTTAAAAAACTAATATTAATAAAAAATAAATGTAATATAAAAATATAAAATAGATACATAAGAGAACTAAAAATAATAACTAATAATAAAATAAAAATGATTAACTATAATTTAAAATATTAAAAATAACTACCTTCAAACATGATCTGCCATCCCTATATCAATGTAATAGTATAACACTAAATATTGACTTAAATCATGCATAAAATAAGGAATAATAGTGCATAATATTATAATACCACAATAATGTCTAATGTATAAACAACCATGGTGTCCAATTTAAAAACAAACATCAAAGGCATAGAAGTGTCTAAATAAAAGTTAACCGTGCTACAACATTAATTCAAACATCAAACTCAAAAGACTGGTACTGCTCCCGCATCTGATCTGTACATTATCCCTAATATTGGTTGTTGATGTGTCCATATGCCCATCCTCATCATCATCGGTACTATTATCACTCATCATATCTCCCTTGACCATCTCTCAATGTATTGATCATGAATAGCTTCTCTCTTAATAAAGTTATAGGTGATAAAACATGCCATTACGATGTAACAATACATACGCATCTCAAATGATGGCATGTTCACCAAGATGGGAAATTTCCTTTTAAATATACCAAAACACCTCTCTATGATATTTCTTAATTAATGACGAGTGTTTGTAATTGAACAGCTCCTTTGATCGAAACTTACGATGTTCTCTAAAGTCATTCAAGTGGTATCGTTCACCAACATAAAGGGTTATGTATGTAGGCCCATTTGGGAATCCACTATCCACAACAAAATATTTTCCTACACAACATGTAAGACAATCATCACCCATAAATTCATTTAAAATTGATTTTAACTAAATAAACAAACTACATAATATTACCTAAAGGATTGGGGAATTCTAGGTGGGGATGGGACATAGCTTCTACAAACACCCTAAAGTCGTGTGTAGATCCTTCCCACCCTACGTAAACAGAAGTGAACCACATATCAAATGAGTACACTACTAATACGTTTGTGGTGCATCATGACTTTCTTCCCCCTATATAATATTTGCTCTTCAAGTGGAACTCTTGCACTTATATAGGTGTCATCTATTGCACCAATATAATCCTATTCAAATGTACATAATGTCAACGCATGATATATTATACATTGAAACAACAAAACATGTAAGAAGAAACTAGTTACATATTGAATATGTCATTGGGAAAATTGCTGCCAACATGGTCTTGTGTCACAGGGATGTGGTCAATCTCATCATCCAAAGGGATCTCAACATTACCCACACCTATTGATGTAAAACCGATAGCACTAGTCCCTGAATATATGAGCTCCAACTCCTCTAGATATGGACAACCCTTCTTCCTTACTTGCTTTGCACATTTATATCCACATGAAGTGTACTTATAGTTAGTATCTTAGTAAATTAAAAAATCATCTCAATAATTGTATTACCGAAATAATATAACCCTACACATTTTCATTGGCACTCAATTTCTTTGTAACTGGATCTATGGTGACCCTTGTGTGATTCATAATTTTCTGATAATCATTAATTTTTTTCTTGAAAAAATGGAACATGTTCTTAAATTGGTCGTGTGTGTATGACTTGTTGTGCCTCTTGTTGAAATTCTCCATGATGTTCCTCTATCCTTCAGTATTAAAAGTTGAGGTTGGTTTTTTATGTGCCTTCATCTACTCAACCATCAACTCTATAAATGTCCTCTCTTCGGCCTCGCTCCAAGTGGCCAATTCATTTAATACATCCTCTTGTAAAGGGCTTGCCTAAGTGTCCATGTGTGTCTGTATGATAGGAGCGAGTGGAGCAAGCCACTTTTAGAAAAAATCACACATTCAAAACAAAAAAGAACTAAAGCAAAACAAAATAAGAAAGTTTTTTATATGTTATTTACAAAACATATTTCACTATGATATTCCTCTCCATTGCTCTCTCTGTCCCTCCACTGTTCTATTTTTCTCTCTGCATCTCTCTCTCTCTCTACCTATCTATACTTTATCTCTTTCTATCTATTTATATCTATTATTTGCAAAACAAATCATTATGATATTCATCTATATGATAGGTTAACATAATAGTGAGTACAATGTAGATATAATACATATTTTTCCTCATACAAAAATTGCATTGTAATTTGTCACTGAAAGCAAATGCCTTATTTCCTATGTGGATAGTTAGTCATGTGAAGATGTTTATTACTGGTTCCTATTTGAACCCAATCCTAGTTTTGTGAACAGGATGCGCCTAACAGTTTGTTGAAGCACATCACCCTTGAAAACAATGAGAACAAACCCATCACTAATAGGACTAGCATCTATCTCTTATACTATTAGACTATATGACACATATATTCCTAGTTTCTGTTGACTTGCAAAAATTGTTTGTGCAACATGGCTTGTAGTTCCAAAATAAGAACAAATGAACCATTTTTATCCTAGTCTATTTGATGCATCACCATTGTATATGCTTTGTATATGAAATTTGGGAGCATAAAGTAATGCCTATGTGACACCTTGTTTCTGAAATTTCTGAAATTTGGTCATGTCACAACAGTTTCCAATATATCATATTTTGTAAAATATAGACATGCATGGTGTTACAAAGCATGTGTTGTATGAGACACATTTTCACATATGTGCTACATAGCTAAAAGGCAAAGACTTTTCAAAGCAAATTTGTTCTTGAACTCTACCCAAAAGATTCCTGAAATGCTTGCAACAACTGGGTAATTGAAACATTTTGGGAGGGAAGACAACACTCTTGGTTATGAATTTTCTTAACTTGAGACCATAGTAACGGTTTAGTATAATCTTTGTAAAAGGGAATACGAAAAAATGAAATCCATTGACCTAGGATGAATATAATTTTTTTTCCATTTTAACACTATAGAAAACTATAACCTGAAATTTAAGTGATCCATATTTCATACTAGAAGAATTTGAATTGCTTTTGGAACTTCTAAAAAGTAATGTTTTGTTGTATAGCAGTAAATTGGATTGTTGATTTTCTATGGACCATGGTAGCATCACAATGGTACAAAAGAATTAGAGTTAGTTTATAATATAAAATAGTTTAGAAGCTAGTAGAGATAAGTTTGGCTTGATTTTGTTTTCAAGCTTACATCTCAAGCTTAAGGCCTAAAGTTTTTCTCTAGGATCTAGTGGGTGGAGCATAGACCTGTTCATGGGCCGGGTGGCCCGATGGGCCGGCCGGCCGGCCGGCCCCCGGACGGGCTTGAACAGGTATATAGGCCCGCGGGCTTAACCTCGGTCCAAAAAGCCTGGCCTGCAATAAATTCGAGCCGGGCTCGGGATTTGCCAAAATAGCCCAGCTCGAGCCCGGCCCGACCCGACCTATAACTAAACCTAAAAACCCTAGTTGAATACCCCTCTTTTTTTCACCTCTTTCCCTTCTTTTTCCAACCGAATTCTTCTTCTCCACATCCTCTTTCCCTTTTTTATATTATTTTTTTAATATAAATAAATTTTGAATTTATACTTTTTTTAATGTAAATAAATTCATATTTATA